ATATGTTAAGTTAACTATAATTGCTCTGAAATACTGGGAGCAAAAATTGTTTTCAAGAAAAAACATACAATGCATTGGAAAAATGCCATCATTTAATTGATGAAGGTTTGTTTTTTAATTGATCTAATTTTTTTATTTGTGAACGATTGATTTTTTTTCAATTGATCAATGTTTGTTTTTTCAATTGATCAATGTTTGTTTTTTCAATTGATCGATGTTTGTTTTTTCAATTGATCAATGTTTTTATTTCTATTGATCTATGTTTGTTTTATTAATTGGTCAACGATTTTTCAATTGATCAATGTTTGTTTTTGAGTTGATCAATGATTGTTTTTTAATAGTTCAAAGATTGATTTTTTTAATAATTTGTTTTTTCAATTGATCATTGTTTGTTTCTCAAATTGATTAATGTTGGATTTTCCTAATGATCTATGTTTGTATTTAATTAATCAATGTTTGATTTTCCAATTTATCTATGTTTGATTTTCTAATTGATCTATGTTTGTTTCCAATTAATCAATGTTTGTATTTTCAATTGATCATTGTTTGTTTCTCAAATTGATCAATGTCAGATTTTCCTAATGATCTATGTTTGTATTTAATTGATCAATGTTTGATTTTCCAATTGCTATGTTTGATTTTCTAAGTGATCTTTGTTTGTTTTAAAATTCAAATCAATCAATGTTTGTATTTTCAATTGATCAATGTTTGTTTTTTCAATTGATCAATGTTTGTTTTTCCATTGATCAATGTTTTTTTTCAATTGATTCATGTTTGTATTCAATTGATCTATGTTATTATGCAATTGATCAATGTTTGTATGCAATTGATCAATGTTTGTTTTTCAATTTATCAATGTTTTTCAATTGATTCATGTTTGTATTCAATTGATCTATGTTTGTATGCAATTGATCAATGTTTTTTTTAATAGAGCAATTTTTGTTTTTTCAATTGATCAATGAATTGATTAGGACAAAAAGAAGAAGCGTAAGAAGTCGACTGAGACTGATTCCTCGGACGACTGTGAGATTGAGTCGGACTGGTGTGTTATCTGCTTAACAGAGGAGGACTGGCAAAGGTCGTTTTTTATCTAATTTCTTCTTATTTGACAAAAATAACGAAAGTTTCTCTTTTTTGACAATTATACTGAATGAACGGAGATGATAATAACTTGTGAGATTGACTTCGATATTTTTTTAAGCAAATTTTATTAGAGGCCAAATTTTGAGAATTCGATCATCCATAAATCTTCCTTGGGGTCACGCGAGGTCCCACAAAAAAATTGGGCCCGATCGTTTCAGCCGTTTTGACGTTTATTGGACACAAACAGACAGACAAGCAAAGTATATATAATATACAAGACTTCTATTTCAACTTTTGATTGTAGCTTTATCTGTGAGCATCTTCTCGTTGTATATAAAAAAAGTTTGAGGATTTCATAATATTTTTAAATTTTACAAAAATAAAAAACTTTTAAATCTTTTAAATTTTGATCATTTTTATAAACCTTCTCTGGAGTCCCACATTTATTTAATCGGACACTCGTTAAATGGATGTTAACTATTTAGGCTAGCAGAGCAGTACAAGGAGAGTGGAAGGAAGGAGGATAGACGCCTTCATCGACTTCTACAACATAGCTTCCTCCCAGAGATAAAAGAGATGTTCAGGTATAAAATTCATCCAGAGATAAAGGAGATGTTCAGGTATTTAACTCATCCAGAGATAAAGGAAATGTTCAGGTATAAAAGTAACCTAGAAATAAAGAAGGTGTTCAGGTATACTTTTGAAATTCACATGTCTAGGGCTACCAAAAAGTAAAAGTGAGTTTGTTAGGTAAAATCATAAGCCAGGGCGTTGCGACACTTAAAATTCGACTCAGTCTTGAATATTCACGCAATTTTTATAGCAGCCTTGATCTTTGTGATGAGTGCAAACGTTGTTTTACAATCTGGAGATATTTTATTTTAAAAATTTAAATTTATTGTTTCTTTTTGATTTCAATTTGTTCAGTTAGTAAAAAGCTGCCTTAAATGTAAAAATCTCTTTTACTCATTTGTAGTGTATATTTCTAATAATTTTGAAAAAAGGATTTTGGAAGATATAGGGAAGAAAATGAAAAATTGAACATTAACTGATCAAATGTCAAGTTTTTGATACTTGTTATCCAAAAATTGATGTTATTTTCCTGTTATTTGAAGAAATAAAACTTATCAATTTGCATAAAAACCTGCCAAATAAATGAGTAGTGAGTACGTTTTGAGTATAAATATTTGAATCAAATCACATGCTTTTTTATCATATCTTTTTAGAACAAATGTTGATATAGAAAATTTTCATTTATATCTTTATCCCAGGGAAAAGGAGAAGGAAGAGAAAAGACAAGAAATGGAAGCTCTGGCGAATATAAAACGGAGTTCATCAAGAATAGAAACTTTAAAGAAATCTCAAGAGGAAAAAGATCGATTACTCGCTATACAGGTTTAATAACAATAAAAATTAGACTCTGCTACATGGAACAAGTCATGGGACGTAGCGGTGCGGCGGGGGGATAGACAAATCTCCGAAGCTTTTTTTTCAGCAAATTTATTATTATTTATTATTTTATTATTTAGGGTTAGGTTAGGTTAAGACACTTTCTGGGCCGAGCGCTGCGGATAGGACAGGCTAGGGGGCCGAGCGCTGCGGCCACGGGATAGGTTAAGTTAAGACACTTTCTGGGCCGAGCGCTGCGACAAGGACAGGCTAGGGGGCCGAGCGCTGCGGCCACATGTCTTACAAATTTCCGAGAATTTAAAGAAAACGCGGCATTTGAGAAAATCACCATTTATTTATTTATTTATTTATAATTTTTACTAGTTTGAATTTTTATGAAAAAAAAAAACAACATTAACAAGGAAAGCCAATATTCAACAGGATAAAATTGTTAATTACGTTAAATACGTTAAATACGTCCCATGCTGAACAAGGCATGAAACAACATGAGGGAGGGAAGGCAATTTGTAGTCATACCCCAATAATTACGGAAAATAATTTGTAATATGCATAACTATGATTTACAGCAAAAATGCATCAAATACTGTAAAATCAAAACTGGAAATTAATACTTTGACAATATAGAGAAACTAATTGATTCTTTTTTTATTAATATAATATTTTCTGGAAAATTAACAAGGCACTTAAATGGGAATGCATATATCAAGTGACCCATTTAAAAATAGAAGATATCATCGTTTTTGTGAAAATATCCCACCTTTTCTTGATATTTTATCCGCAGAATGACCAGCCTGCCATTTTTAAAGCCAATTTTTCATATGCGCTCATCTGGAATTATAAGTTTTGAGTGATCAAAAAACCTAAATAATATAATATTAAAATCTTTATACAAGAAGGATCTACATACTTATGTTAAAAATATATCCTTCCTAGAATTTGCCAATCTAGAAAAAAGGTTAGAGTTTAAAATATTTAGATTTTTCTTTTGTTAAGTTTATAATCAGTTTAAAATTAGTGCATAATAAGGAATCTTTAGTTTGTTTGAACAGTATTAAAATGCAGAGGATCTTTAACTTTTTAGAATATTAATACATAATCACATAAGGACTTACGTTGGCAACATCCAGGCTAGACTTCTCCTGTTAAATGATGCTTTTCTTGTTTAATTGAGTCCTTGATCCTTGATTAGTTGAGTTCTTGATCCTTGATTAGTTGAGTCCTTGATCCTTGATTAGTTGAGTCCTTGATCCTTGATTAGTTGAATCCTTGATCCGTTTAGAGGTGGATCCCGAATCCTTTATCTGTTGAGTCCTTGATCCTTCTTGTTTAAATACCGATCAGTCCTCATTATCACTTTAACCTGCACACAATTTTTAAAATGTTTAATTTTTGCCTTTTCGGACAATGCTCAAGTTTTAATGCTCAAATTTACTCTATTTTATCAATGTTTATATAAGTTATTTTTGACCTTTAAGGTTAGGAGAATATCCAAAACTTATGCCGATTGTCCTTGCATAATCGCTTTGAAACATTAATATTTCAAATATTTTAAGAATAAAATAAGTTTTTACTTTAAGTTTTAAAATTGTGAGTGGTGAATCACAAAAGGTTCTTCAAAGTTCCAATCTTCAATCTTGTTCAGTCACTTTGAATATTATCAATTTTCAAATAATATATCAAGGAAATTATGTTTCTCTCACGTTTGTGAAAACAAGCTAAAACAAGTCAAAACGAGCCAAAACGAGCTTTAATGAGCTTCAACGAGCTTCAACGAGCTTCAACGAGCTTCAACGAGCCGAAACGATCTAAAACGATTTAAAGCGAGCTAAAACGAGCCAAAACGAGCTATAACGAGCTTTAATAAGCTAAAACAAGCTATAACTAGCTATTATAAGCTAAAACAAGAGGAAACGAGCTCAAACAAAATAAAAAGAGCCAAAACGAGCATGCACGTTTTAATTGGAAAGTCACTTAAACTTACACCAGCAGTCCTTGAAAAATATGAACTTATGACAACTTAAACTCGTTTTCACAATCTATTTCCAGAATTGTTTTTACATTTCCTTTTTATTGTTTAGTTGGCGGAGCAAGCTGAAAAGGAGCTGGGAGAGAGGAGGGGAAGGAGGAGAAAAGGAGAGGAAGACGAGGATACTGGGGAGGAAGGTAGAGAGGAGAGAGCTAAACAGAGGGAATTAATGAAGGTATATTCTCCCCCCCCCCCCACCATCTCCTAGCAATACCTTACTACTCGAAAGACATGATTCTGAACGAATTTAATAACGACAAAAATTCGAGAATCAAATTTAAAAAGTTTCTATTTTTTATAGGTAGTCCCCAAAAATAATTTTCGTATCTTTGTAGATTTTTGACATTAACCGAACCATAATTATAGAAAATATAAAGAAAACGATAATGTAGGGGTGTATATTTTTAATTTGGAAGTAAAAATGAAAAAATAAAAATGTTTCATCTTTTTTTGTCATAAAATTTATTTATTTTCCCCATTAAATCATTTTTTCCCCAATTGAGCGAATAAAACTATCAAACAAGAATTTCCGCTCAGCTCAAAGAAATCTAACTTCTGGGGGAAAAATGATTTTCAATCTAGGGACGAGCAAAATTTTTCAAGAAATTCTGTGGCAGTACTTTCTTCGGATTGAATAGCATAAATAAAACACAATCCTCTGTAATCAGGGCTGTATATTTTCCTAAAGAATCATTCCCCCCCCCCTTTAAGTAAATCACTAAATTCCCGAAAAAGTTATTTTTCATGGGGTTTTCGCTGAATTGGAAAAAATAAACTATTTTTTAGGGAAAATAACCGAATTTTTGGGTATAAATCATCAAAAAGAATGAAAACCTTGCCTTTTGACGTCCCCTTTTTATTTTTCCCCCACCCAGATTATTTTTCATTTTTCCCCCACCCAGATTATTTTTCATTTTTCACCCACCCAGATTATTTTCTATTATTTTCCCCCACCCAGATTATTTTTTCAAACATTTTTCCATCTCGTCTTCCCCCCTCCATCTGTATTTGCAGGCTTCTATCTTTGTTCTGTTAATTTCTTTCAATTTCAAAATTGTATCCTCTTTAAAAATCTTAATTTTTCATTTAATTTATTTCTTTCTCTAGAAAACTAAATCAGCTGAATATGTAAAACTTTTATTATTTCAGACCGACGCGTAAGAATGGTCCAACCGCTCGCGCATCTTTTACCACCGCTCTCATCCGCGCGGGCACGAAATCCACAAAAGACATCTTCCTGGAGAAAGGCCGAGTAGCAGCAGAGGAGAAGAAACCGGTTGTACGCAAGGTGGCGGGTCAACTCCTACAAACCGCGGGGAAAGGTCTTCTCAATTTCAGCAGAAAGGAGAAAGAGGAAGACGACATTTTTAAACCAGCCTCGGCGAGTATATCCTTCGGACTTTACGGCGGGCACTTGTCTGTCGACGAAAGCGCTGTGACGCCGACGAATCTGCGTCTTGAAGAGCGACCGTACCTGTCCCTCCTGTCTCCGGACAAACCTGATCAAAGTACAAAGCGAATTTTCTCGAACTGGGGCGGAGAATTCTTTAAGAAAAATTTGGACTATCGCGCAAATACAAACAAAATCCTGGAAAAGATGCAGTTGGCGAAGCCAGGCCAGGAGCTTGGGCAGAATGGGGGCAGTGACCTGCCCAGCTCAGAGCTATAGTTCCGTTTTCGCTTTAAGGGACTGTGCGCGGGTTTAAACATGCAGTTTTTGCATTTTTTGTCGTCTTATGTTTAGTCAATAGTTCCTTGAACAAATCAATGATGTATTATGAATTGATTAATTGACAACCTGTAATTGTCAGTGCTGTGCATTAAATTTAGATGTTTTAAATGTTTTAATCATTGTTTTTATCTTAATTGTTATTAGTATGATTACTTTAACAACAAAAGACGATTCCTTTTGCAGGAAAATAGTTATTATATGTTTACTTTGTGCAAGTAATGTTAAATTTTTTCGTTTTAACGAATTGAAGGTAGAGGGGTGTTCAGGATTTAGATACAGGGCGTCTCATAAAACATGAACAGTATCAGTCTCTTGAACTTAAACTTAGGTATAGTGCCATTTTTTGTTTAAATCTGGAAAAGTTATTAAAGCAAATATGTAAAAGTAAATGCTGTTTTTTGGGAACACCCTGTATATCCAAGATCTCAATTTTTGCTCAGTATAATCGGGTTTTTGAACTGTTACTTTAAAACCAGTGTTTTGTCTTAGTCTCTCTATGTTCTAGTTAAGAGTTATTAATTAATTTTTTACCGTAAAGAGACTGTTAATGTATTTTGTCAATTTCCTTCCTCATCTCTGCTGCATAAATCACTTGATAGAGAATTCAAATTAATCATCAGTTTACTCGAATAAAAGTTGAAAGAGTATCTTCGGTGAATTCGGAATATTAAAGTAATTCTATTTACTTGAAATTACGTTGACAGTCTTTGTATGGAAGTGTTTGTTAATCATTCTCTTATAGATAATTTTTTAATAATAATTCACTCAAAAACAAAGTTTGTTTTCAAAAATATGTGACCAGCACTTTAAAAAATAGAAATACATAGTCCCAATTTGATCGAAATTCTGGCATAATGAAGACAATGTAATTTATAAATTTGAGCATTTTTCTGATTTATTTCAAACAGTTTATTATTGTAAAATCCCTTTTATGTCATCAGTTTAAAGTCTCGTGTGTCTTATCTTTTCAAAGTTTTTTTGTAGCTC